TGCACGCGCGCACGCACACACACACACACACACAAACAAAGAGTCAAGGTCTGCAACAAGACACCAAACATCTCTCACACACACACACACACACACACACACACACACACACACACACACACACACACACACACACACACACACACACACACACACACACACACACACACACACACACACACACACACACACCACACTGCTTCAATAGCTCTCTCTGTTGCCTAGCAACAGCTGAATTTGCACCACTTTACATGGAGAGAGTGTGTTTTCATAACTGACACTGTATGTTAGTCTGTGTTTATGTGTGTGTTCTGGGTTACATAACATGTTTTACAACAGTCAGAGTGTGTGTGTGTGTGTGTGTGTGTGTGTGTGTGTGTGTGTGTGTGTGTGTGTGTTTTGATATGATGCAGTTTTTATAACAAACACTGAATCATTTACAGTTATGTTGACATTAATAAAACAGTTCACAGGGTCTGTATTGTTTAAAAACTACATGTTAAACTATTCAGTCTGTAAACATCCTGTCTAAACTGTTATTATCTGGTCATTAAAAACAATAAATAATTTAAATAATGGGTGTGTGTGACTTCTGTTTTAGTTGCCATGGTATCAACATTGTTTAATTTTTATATCCTGGTATAATGACACTGTGGTCTGCACTTCTCTCACATAAACACACCCACACGGAGGCCGCGCTCTGACCGCGGACTCGCCTGGCTGATGTAGCCGCCTGCTGCAGCTTCTCTCTCGGCTACATTAGCTCAGCTCCTCCCGGACTGCTAAGCTGAGCTAATGTATCTTCTTGAACGCTTCTCAGTATTCGCTTGTTTACATAATTGTAACGACACGACAGCTCGTTTTCACACAGTCGCCACACCCTCGTTCCGTTACTCTTGACTTAATCACAGAGTCACATTTATTCACTCATTTTATGATAAATAACTCGTGTCTGACTGTGGAGCTGTTCACCTAGCCGAGTAGCCATAGCTTCAGCGGCTAAGCTAGCGTTAGCTTCCCAGGTCCCAGTGATTTAAACAGCTCCGGAGCCGAGCTGCAGGGCTCTACCTCCGGGTTTACCCGAGCTCACCCGAGTCACACAGCCACTGCTGATCTCTACATGTCTCATAAAAAACACAACACGGTTTAAAAAAGAAAAAGAAAAAAGAGGACCGACCGAGATGAGTCCAGAGGTAAAACAGTCTGTTAAAGCTCTTTACCTTCCGCCTTCAGCACAGTCGCCATCTTCTCCCTCGCTGACGTCATCACGTAGTTATGGGAGATGTGGAGGATGCAAATCTTCTTCCACAGATGAGATCACTTTTTTCTCTGTCCCACCAGAAATGGTTTTAACGTTTTGAACCAACAACTATGAGATTATGTAGAATACACATGAGATTATGTAGAATACACATGAGATTATGTAGAATACACATGAGACTATGTAGAATACACGAGATTATGTAGAATACACATGAGATTATGTAGAATACACATGAGACTATGTAGAATACACGAGATTATGTAGAATACACATGAGACTATGTAGAATACACATGAGATTATGTAGAATACACATGAGATTATGTAGAATACACATGAGATTATGTAGAATACACGAGATTATGTAGAATACACATGAGATTATGTAGAATACACATGAGATTATGTAGAATACACATGAGACTATGTAGAATACACGAGATTATGTAGAATACACATGAGATTATGTAGAATACACATGAGACTATGTAGAATACACATGAGACTATGTAGAATACACGAGATTATGTAGAATACACATGAGATTATGTAGAATACACATGAGACTATGTAGAATACACATGAGATTATGTAGAATACACGAGATTATGTAGAATACACATGAGATTATGTAGAATACACGAGATTATGTAGAATACACATGAGATTATGTAGAATACACATGAGACTATGTAGAATACACATGAGATTATGTAGAATACACATGAGATTATGTAGAATACACATGAGACTATGTAGAATACACGAGATTATGTAGAATACACATGAGATTATGTAGAATACACATGAGATTATGTAGAATACACATGAGATTATGTAGAATACACGAGACTATGTAGAATACACATGAGATTATGTAGAATACACATGAGATTATGTAGAATACACATGAGACTATGTAGAATACACATGAGATTATGTAGAATACACATGAGATTATGTAGAATACACGAGACTATGTAGAATACACATGAGATTATGTAGAATACACAGCACAGCAGAAGAATACAAGAAGGGATGTACTTAAAGCAAGTATTAAAGAGAAGAGAGTTGAAGAAATAGAGATATGAATCAGCACTTTATAATAAATTGCTGAAATGCAAAAACACATGTTCATATTATGATTAGTTGAAGAATCCCCTTCATCATCATCATCATCATCACAGTGCAGGCCTGACTTCTATAATGCTGTTGTAGAAAACTCTCTGATCCAGGTCTACACTCCCTCCTGCCCACTACGCTCAGGCGTCTGACCCAACCTTCACATCAGGGCCCTTTCTAGACTCTTCTCCTCTGTCGCCCCCCGGTGGTGGAACAAGCTACCTTTGCACCTGGGAGGCAGATTTCTTCTCAAAAAACACAAAACTTAAAGGAGCGATTTGTAACTGATATTAACGGACGGAGCCGGAGTGGCATCACCCGTCTGTTCCTGCAGGGGGCGCTGGAGTCCCATCGATGGCTGATGAGTTATCACCTCATTAAACAATAGGACATGGAGCGAGAAAGCCCAAGCCACCCAAGACCTTCCAGAGAGGGGGCGTGGTCAGACACAGCTCATTTACATATTTAAAGGTACAGACACAGAAACAGCCTGTTCTGAGCAGGGCTGAAATAGAGGGGTTTATAGACATGATCAAATACAGGATCAGAGTGGATTTAGAACAAGAAACTTCACACACATGTTGAAGAGGAGCTCTGAGACTTATTTACACTGAAGAAGAAGAAGAGGAGGAGGAGGATATGTCACCTTTAAAGTCAGATATGAGAGCAGTTATCAGGTCAACAGGTGTTGCAGCGATGGAAGCGGTCAAGAGAAGTGGTTCAGATAGAAGTGATTGTACCCGACCTAAAAAGCCTCTGCATGTTTCTAATAAGCTCCACGAGCAGAAACGTGCTCAAACTAGGATCAATATTGGAGATGCTTTTGAAAAATGGAGAGAGGTTAGAACACAGAAAGGTTTACAGACCCATGCAGAGCTGGATAAACACTGAAGCTTCAGAGTCCACCACATGGTGACCTGAGTGAGGGAAGGGGGGGGACAGCTCTCTATGATGTTTAGAATTTAGACTGCAGTACCCATTTTAAACACTAGGGGTCAGAGTTACATACTGCTCCTTTAACAGGTTGAAATGATTTATCTTTTCATATTCCTCTGGGTTTCAACATGTTGAGAAAATGTTTATCTGATGTAATGTTTCAGGAGAAAAGACGTTCTGTTAAAATGTTTCTGTTTTTAAAGAGACGGAGCACACAGGACACAGATATCTGAGGCGTTTAGAGAAAAATATCAGAGGTTTTATTTTGTATAAAAGCGAGCATGTCGTCCAGCAGGCAGGAGGCTCGCCCAGCTCTTCACCTCTCCGACCGCTTCAGCTGCAGAAAGAGCAGCGCGCTCACGTCGCCACAGATCAACACGTTGAGAGGAGACGGTCTAAAGCTGGAGGTCGACTGAAGAGACGGTGTCAGACGTTATCTGAGAGGACGATGTCGATGATGATGGAGCTTCTTATTTGTTGTTTTTATTCATTTACATCCAAAACGAGACTTTAAAATCTCTGATTTAAAGGAACCAAACTGCGGCTTTGAGTCCATTTCATCACGATCCTGAATATCACGTCGCTGCTGCCAGAGGAACAGAAGACACGCTCGCTTTAAAGCCCACTGGAGGTTTGAGTACACCGGCTGTGTTTGTTTGAAATGAGTCTTTTATGTCCGTTATCGCTGCAGAAATAAAATCAAACATTTAAAATCTGAAGCTCATTGAGAGCACCGTCTGACTTGAATAAATACGTTTGCAGCGTTTTGGCACAGAGACATCTGTGTGAGTGTGTCAGTAATTTATGATCATTAAAAATCTAGAAAGGATCCAACATTTGGCGTCTAGGACTTCTAGTAATGGTGCCGTCATCTGTCATGGTGACTTGTTATTATTGTTGTTATGACCTCCTTTGAGACTGAAGAACGACGTGATGACGAGCGTACAAGTCAGCGGTCTGTTCCTTTAAATCAAAGAGTCACAAACAAACAAAGATGAGTTTTCAGTCAAACGGCAGAACGACTGACAGGAGGCAGAGTTAAGACTTCATCCGACAAACCATCGTAACAAAAAAATAAAAAGAATGAATTATCCTAACCAATCAGCTTCATCAACACGGAACAGGAAGTAAAAAAAAAAAAAAAACAGCTCAGATTTAACTCCACAGGAACAAGTGTGTGTGTGTGAGTGTGTTCAGTGTGAGTGTGTTCAGTGTGAGTGTGTTCAGTGTGTGTTCAGTGTGTGTGTGTTCAGTGTGAGTGTCTGTGGTAGGTGGGGTCATGATGGCGACATGCCCCCCCCATCTCCCTGTGACAGGCTCAGCTCGGGAACAAAGGTCATCACATGCCCTGTCTGATGCTCTGGATGATCTGGAAGATGGCTGTAACACACACACACACACACACACACACATTATTTATACATAATGGCGCAGCGTGTTCTGCACACTGTGTTATGTCTGTAGTATGACCGCCAGCCGGTGGTTATTCTGCAGCTGATGATGTCATCAGTGTGAGACTCACCTGATCCACAAACCACAAAGACGAACAGAGCGAGCAGCCACGGACCCACCGGAGACTTCTCCTCGTTTACAGGCCGCTGCACACACACACACACACACACACACACACACACACACACACACACACACACACACACACACACACACACACACACACACACACACACACACACACACACACACACACACACACACACACACACACACACACACACACGTTAAGTAGAATATGTACGTTTGACACTTTAAAGGCAGGGTCGGTCATTTATGAAACCTAGCATGATTTTGAGAGTAGCTTTCCCTCAGTGCTCTGTCTGCACCGACCCCCTCCCCTCTGTGCTCCCTCTAAAGCCACGCCCCCTCACTGACGTGCACGAGCGCCATTGGTCCGGAAGCGGACCTCAGCTCACGCTTTGAGTGTGGGCTCGTGCACGTATCGAGTTGAGAGCGAGCAGGGAGACAGGGAGGCGTGTGATTGGTTCATCAGATTGGTACCTCGTGGCAGACATTGGTTGAAGTTTTTACAGACTTACAAACTGATACAGATGATGGATTCTCTTTGTTCCTGTTTCAGAGAACATGAGTTATTCATTTCTGTCAGGACCTAAAGACAATTTACAGCAGAATCTGAAGAAGTGGAGGAAATGACCAACCCTGACTTTAATATACTTCAATAAATGTCCAGTAAAAGGTGGTGAACTAAAGAGGGCTGGTCTGAGCTAGAGGCTGACATCCTTTCAGAAGAAAAGACAGAAAGGTGAATAAAGGCTGTTACAGCTGTGGTGTGTGTCTGCTGGTTAAACGTGCAGGACGTACGTCGTGTGAAGTCATCAATCAAACAGAGACAGAACATAGAAGATGGATTGTGATCTTTAGTGAAGACGCTCCAGCCAAATGGAGAGTGTGAAGTAATGAAATGTTAAAATAAAAACTAACAGGAGAAGGATGGGATGATTTCTGTACCCTGCATGCTCTGAGATAGGCATCAATTAGGAGCGCTCGACGATTTAATGAAAGGCTGAACTGTCGCATTTCAATGTGAACGTTTTCATGTTCTTGATTGTAAACTAAATCTGTGATTTAAAATGAAAGATTTGAAGTTGGGGAGTCTCTCTGTGAGGAGTCTGCACGATCTCTCCGTCTTCCTCCCACAGTCCAGAGACATGCTCGTTAGGTTAACTACTGACTCTAAATCACCCGTAGGTGTGAATGTGAGTGTGTCAGGCCTGTGATTGGCTGGTGATTAGTCCAGGGTTTAACCCCACCTCTCACCCAATGACAGCTGGGATCCCCAAACAGGAAAAAGCAGTGAAGATAATGGATGGATGAAAAGGAGTCAATCTCATGATTACTAATACATTTAGTCAATGTATTAGTAATCATGGTTTTAATTGTTGTTGTATTTTAAATAATGAATATGTGACTCTTTGATCCAGTAGATGTCGCCCTTGAGCTCCAGCATGAAACCAAAACAAACTGCTGTTTTGGCCACGCCTCCTCCATCCTGAAGCCTCCGCCCTCCATCCTTCAGAACTGTCACTCAAATGCTCGTATGACTGTTTTAAGCAGAGACTTGTTGATATGTTTGTGAGTGAGGCCCTTTGTGTGTTTCAGGGTGCAGGATGGACGTGTGGAAACAAAGCACAAATATAAATCTATTTAAAAACTATGCAACGATATTATGGCAGGTATATGAAAGAGGAAAGGTTGTTTTAGGGGTGTTCCTATTTATTTTGTAACACCAGGTGGATATTAGGATTGTAATAATGCTGGTTATTATTTGTGGTGTCAAATTAACGGGTCATACTTGTCAGTACATTAGTTGTAAATACATTTGAATAATATACCAGTTCATAGAAGAAACGTGAGAAAGGGGTGTACTAGTTTTTTTTGCACAGTGTTACGTTTATTTTGTAAGATTTTTTATTATCTTTATTTTACTTTAAGTTCAAAATGAAGTCCTTCATTCATCCATTGATCTTGATTTGCTCCTTTACTGGTGGATTTGGAGTAATGATAGTGTGTGTTCTTACACACTGCTGCCCCCTGCTAAGCAAAGCAAGTGCTCACCACCAAACCTCATTTAGAAATCTCTCTATTAACGCTGCGGCCCATGTTTGGACATTAACAGCTGGATATAAATAAAGTATTTTTGTATTTATTTAACCGTTTTCAATCCTTCTTTGATTCGGCTTGTGTAAAATCCGTAAATCACGACTCTTTCAAACAAACCGATCTTTTGTGTCTGCTGAGGGACGCCGCGCCTCCGCCCACCGCCGACTCTACAGCGGCCAAAGAACGCGGCAGACTGCGTTTAAAAAGTATGAAATGCTGCTACACAACCGACGACCAGCTAAAGGAGTTCATGCCGAATTGAAGACGGACTCTCATGCAGTACATCCACAGTCACAACTTGTAAATATATAGTGTGGAAATTTGAGCACACGAAATATAATACTAATGTCCCAGATGTCTCAAGGGAGTCTGGCCCCTCTTTCACTTCACCCGGCAAAACGCGACGTTTAGCTTAGTCCAGGCTAAAAGCTAGCTGAATGCTATCGTCAGGATCCGTCGTGTTTTCCAAACAGAATCAAATCCCTGCAGAAGCTCTAATCATTCAACTGAATACATGCAGTGAGAGTGTTAGCTGTTAGCCGCTAGCCCTGCTGTCAGTACCGATGTTTTCTGGACGTGTCCCCGCTGTGTGATGGTCTTGCTGTGCCGCTCGTTTGCCACTTTCATCCGCTGCACCGCCGACATGTTTCGGGTTTAAATACCGGTCTGGACCGGGGGGGGGGGCGGAGAACCGGGAACAACCGGGAGGAGAAAGAGGAGAAGGTACCGCAGAAATGCCCCCACCGGACTGGAGTCTGTTACCGTGTTGTTCGGCAGTTAACGTCCGAATGAAATGCTAACCGTTAGCTAGCTGCTAGCGTACGAGCTAACTCTGAAGCGCCTCTACTCGTCACGTGACAAGGGGACAAAATGGCTCCCTGCTGTCCTCTAGTGGCGGGAAAAGATTGTAAAAGTGTCTTAGAGATACTTTTCGATTTAGTCCAGCAGATATGTGAACTATATAAAAGAATTGTGCTTTTGATGATAAAAGCATGACACTTGGCACACTGTTGGAGCCTTAAGGAAGACTTTTGGCTATAGGGCCATCGCATATTTGTCCTATGGCGCCAATGGCAGCCATTTTCAAAAAGGCCGCCATAGTTATTATTTTTACCAGTAACTTAGGTTCTAGACCAGCTAGGAGCTTGATTTCAGTGACTAGTCCTACATGTCCAAGGATGGGGAATCCAGTGGTAATATTTATTTGATGTGTTTAGTAGTATTTAGTTCCCTAAATGCTAATTGATGTAGTTAGGTAGTTACTAGCATGTTGTTAATAGTACCACTTCATTCCTTATCCATGAAAATGTAGGATTAGTCACTGAAATCACGATCATAGGTGGTCTAGAACCGAAGATACTTTATACTTTAAATTGATACCCGGTGGTGGCCATTTTGAAAATGGCTGCTAATGGCACCATAGGACAAATGTGCGATGGCCCTATAGCCAAAAATCTTCCTTAGGGCATGCTCTGACAGTGTACCAAGATTCATGCTTTTATCATCAAAAGCACAATTCTTTCACATATCTGCTGGACTAATAGTGACGATACAATTTCTGTTATTTAATGATCAATATTATTTTTAAAAAAATACCAAAGCTTTAAAAAACAACATCTATATCAAAACAGTGATGTGTAGGAGAGGAATGAATCCATCAAACATGTTAATCAGTATACCCTAACTCACTTGGTGCCCTACGCAAGATTTTAGCTGGTACCCCTTGGTACCCCACCAATCACAATATTCATACACTTCAAGAAAACTGGCATACAGCTTTATGGTTTACAGCTTTCTTTACGATCAGTGTGAATCACTTCTGATAACTAGTTTGCCCTCCTCCACTACAAAGAGCACGGAACGAGCAGGGAGCAAGAAAATATGACCTTTTTAAATAGGTGATGCAGATAAAATAACATTAAGTAATAGTTAAACACACGTTTCCTTCTTTGTCTTCTTATTTTCGTCAACTGTTCTTTCTCACTCATTTCGGGTACCAGGATGCCCCCTATGGACGGCAGGCGCCCCTAGCATTTGCCTATACTGCCTATGCCACGGGCCGGCCCTGATGATAATAGCACACTGTTCAGAAATGTTACCAACTTTTTTTTGTGTGTTATATTCCCTATTTCAAGTTAGCAGCTTTAGACCTAAAAAGATTTCCTCAAAAAAGACAAGTCAGATCAGTTTACCCTCCGCCATTATTGTTGACAAAGCTGATATCAGAAGTCCTGCCCCTTCTTGCTTTTGATGCGTCAATCAGGGAGAAGTGACATTGACCATTGTTACGCTGTTCCAACTGAGAGCGCCGCTGTGAGTGCAACGACAAAAAACAGCTGACGGTGAGGGTGTTTTTACATTCTGAACGCTGTGCACTGAAAACGCTGAACTACCAATGGTTTTGTTTTAAAAAAACGAGCGCTAGCCTACAAAAAGCGCTCTGTGTCAACACAGTTACAGCTCCATTAGGCCATTTCATTTTTCTACTGTTCTTGTCCCAGTATACAAGCATTGAGAGAGAATCCAAAGTCTTTATTTGTGATTTTTCACACTTAAATGTAGAAATCAAGTATCTCCTCTGAAAATAACTCTGTGAGTCATGACTGTCTACAATGGGTGTAACACCCGAGTCCCACTGTCTGTGATGTTTTCAGAGTTTTCAGAGTCCTATCTTCACTTTGTTTACATCGCCCGGACGGCTGGCTGACTCCTCCCCTCGTGTATAAAAGTTGTTTAATTGAGGGACTAGAGAAAAGAAGAATAACATACTGTACTCACTGCTTAACTGTGTTTCTAGATCACGCTCATTTCAGGTAAATTTACATGCAGTGTGAAGATACCAGCATAATAAAGATCGCTAGCATTAGCATGCTAACACAACAATGCACCGCGAGTTGTTTTCGTTTCATGCTGGAGCTCAAGGGCGACATCTGCTGGATCAAAAAATCACATATAAAGCCTTTAACAGAAAAATGTCTGACTGCTATCCCCTTTAAATGAGTCACTTTTGGACCTTCTTTCGGTTGACTTTGCTAACAAGTTAGCAGACAGCTAGGTGGTGGTTGTATGTGGAACAGGGAAAACATGGACGACTTTACAGATCTACCTGCTCTACACTTCACTGTTGGTTCAAACATGATGAGAGCCATCCCTCTAGCAGCTGATATCTCAAGGCAGACGACAATGTGACCTCTGCTATGTTCCACACAGTTTGACCTCAGGGTCAAAGCCCGGTGCAGAGACTGTGGAGGACTGTGGAGCGTGCTCAGAGGATCTGGTCCAGTTTGGGTCGGATTGGGACATAAACATGCAAAAGTAAATCGACACCCAAACCACATTTTCAAAGTGTCTTACTCCGACTTATGTGTATTTTATGTAAAGTCCAGTTTAAGTCGCACTATCATCACAATAAATCCACAGACTCTTTAACACCAAAGAACACAAGACAAGAGGAGCCCGATGGAGTTTCTCTTTTATTTTCTTCCTGCTGTAACCAGCAGTTTGTCTAAAAACACACAAACACACATCTTCATGTTGGACACATGGTCGTCTCTCACACACACACACACACTGCTGGCTGTGAAGAGCCAGCGCTCTGATAGGAGGAGAAGGAGGAGCTTCCTTGTCCCCTGATGTCTTCCTGTTTACGTCTACCTGTGTCTACGTCACTACAGCAGGAGAACGTCTCCGTTAATGTATTCCTTCATTAGTGCACGTCAAACATGGAGTCTGTGACTGGTGGACCGGGCGGTCCCACTGTCACAGGTCATGGTGGGTCAGACTGGAGTCACCTGTTGTGACATCACAAATGTCCTGAAGCTTTCTCAGAGAGAGTCAGTCTACACAGCGGTAAAATCTACCACAACAGTCGTAGGACAAAGCTGTCGCCATGGTAACACATGTCTCTAACAGCCCAACCCGCTGATGGAGCCGATGCGGTCCATCTTCATCCCGAAGCATCCTCTGCCTCCGACCATCGACTTCCTGCTCCGCTTCCTCATCTTGGATTGGCGCTGCAGGAAGTCCATGAAGAACCGAGGGACCGCCTCCTGTCTGCCGGCCAATCCTCTTGCGGCGCCACGACTCACGGCCACTCCCTTAAATGGAGACGAGGTGGAGGGAGCTGGGCGTCCAGCTGAGCCCTCTGTGATGTCATCGGAGGTGGGAGGGGCCAGGATGAGAGAGGAGAGGTGAGAGCCGAACAGAGAGTGGAGGACCTGAGGGTGTAAAACATGAAAGCAGTTTTATTTATTTTTCTTTGAAAGTCTTTTTTACAGAATTTGAACTCTGTCATTGAACGCAACACGAGGTCATGATACTAAAAGTTTAAGTTTTTCTGTTTTAATCAACAAACAATAATCATTAAATGATGAAGATGATGATGAAGATAATCATGATGATGATGATGAAGATGATGATGATGATGATGAAGACAATCATGATGATGATGATGAAGATGATGATGATGAAGATGATGAAGATGATGAAGATGATGATGAAGACAATCATGATGATGATGATGAAGATGATGATGATGATGATGAAGATGATGATGAAGACAATCATGATGATGATGAAGATGATGATGATGATGATGAAGATGATGATGATGAAGATGATGAAGACGATGATGATGATGGTGATGAAGATTATGATGATGAAAATGAAGATGAAGATGAAGATGACCATGATGATGATGATGAAGATTTTCTCAGACCTGTGAGTTGTCTCTCTGAGATGAAGGTCTGGACTCCACAGCGATGGTGAGGAAGAGGAGGACGAGGAGAGGAAGGGCCGGGAAGGAGGAGGAAGATAAAGACGCCATCTTTGTTTGGATCAAAAATACAAATCACAAACTTAGATTAAAATCACCATCACCACGGAAACGTGTGCAAACTAAACTAAACCACAATGATCAGAAGGTTTGATCATAATGAATCCTCCTGTTTGGATCATATTTAAGAAAGAGAAGAAGAACTCACTGTGACTGAACGACGGAGAGAAATAATCCAAACAATTCAAAATGTCAAAAACACAACAAACTCCAGGAAGTTCTGCCGGTCGTCCGTCAACACTTTCACCTGCTCAGAAAAGTTCAGATAAAAAAAAGAAGATTTTATCGTTCTCAGACAACGTCGTAAAAATTGGACGTTTTTTGAGTGAAGTTTGGTGTGTGTGTGTGTGTCTGTCCTGTCGCAGTGCCAGGACGGGTCGGTGGTCTGCGTGGAGACCTCAGAGACGAGCTTATATACCACGCCACGCTGTGATGTCACACATTCTTTCTGCTGTTACCCACGACGACACACACACACACACACACACACACACACACACACACACACACACACACACAGAGACACACACACAGAGACACAGAGACACACACACACACACACACACACACACACAGACACACACACACACACAGACACACACACACACACACACACACACACACACACACACACACACACACACACACACACACACACACACAGACACACACACACACACACACACACACACAGACACACAGACACACAGACACACACACACACAGACACACACACACACACACACACACACACAGACACACACACACACACACACACTCTCATCCATTGACTGTGTGTGTGTGTGTGTGTGTGTGTGTGTGTGAGAGAGATAAAAATATCAGCCAATCAGACGTAAAGGTTCATGAAAATAATGAGAACGAGTTCAAAAGTAATCTGTATTTAATCGGGAGGTCCTGGAGTCCTTGAAAGGGTTCCAGTGATTGCTGTGAAGCTGCCTGGAATCCTTGAGAAGGTTCCAGGGTGAGGAAGAGCTCATTCCAGGTTCAGATCAAACATTTTCTACATCAAGGTACCTTGAGGTCTTTCAGGTGTCCTTGAGGTCTTTCAGGTGTCCTTGAGGTCTTTCAGGTGTCCTTGAGGTCTTTGAGGTCTTTCAGGTGTCCTTGAGGTCTTTCAGGTGTCCTTGAGGTCTTTCAGGTGTCCTTGAGGTCTTTCAGGTGTCCTTGAGGGTATCTAAAAGTCCATGACAGGACTTTAAAAAAGGGCCTGTACTCCTGGAAAGTTTAAGGGTCTTTAACAGAAAATAAATGCCAATCAGGATGCTTGAAGGTTCCTTGAAAAGTTTCCATGATGCTTTCAGGGGCTCCAAGGTCCTTCGAAAGGAACCTGGAGATGATAAGTCCTTGAGAAGGTTCCAGGTAAAAGAGGACCCTCAATGATTAATAAAGAGGTTGCAGCTGTCCTTGAAAGAGAACCTTGAATTCTAAATGCAATTCAAGGAACCTTTAGATAATATCCTGAGGTCCTTGAGAAAGTACAAATGGTTCTGGAGGAGTTCCACGAGTCCTTGAAGATGTCATACTAATATTTGGGAAGTCATTGAGAAGCCTGAATTGGTGCTTTACAAGGGTCCTGGAAATCCCTCAAAGAACGTCCTCTGTAAGGTGACGCTTCCTTGAGTCCATCAGCAGGGTTGAAGGCTATACCCTGAAGTATCTGTCCTGTTGCCATGGTTACCAGCAGGTGGTCTGACCTACAGTTATACAGGTTAACTCTCCTTCATCATCATCATCCTCTCTCAACCAATCAGATCGCAGCATTCTGTCTCTCTCTCTCCCTCAGACACTCATGGCCTCTGACCTCGCTCGTCCTGCCTCCTCGCCTCCTCGTAAACCGTCACCGCGGCGACTCGATCGTTGTAAGCAACTATTTCCTGTGGAAAGGGGGCGGGGCTAATGAGATTCACATCGTCCGAGGATAGGTGTGTGTGTGTGTGTGTGTGTGTGTGTGTGTGTGTGTTTGTGTTTAATGACCCCCCGTCGTCTTTGTCCCAGTCAGACAAAATCCCGCCCCCCATTCAGCCTCTGACGTCATCATCCACGCACATAAAACACACACACACACACACACACACACACACACACACACACACACACAGTTAGAATAGCTCATCAATCACCTTATTAGAAAGAAAGAGGTCGCTGATCACAAAAACGTGTGTGTGTGTGTGTGTGTGTGTGTGTGTGTGTGTGATGAACAGAACATTCCTGCCCCCCCTTAACAGTGACCCACACACACATTCAGGTTCTCACAAATCAGGTTGGACCAGATAAAACAGTTCTGTGATATATTTTAGTGGTACAGGGATCCTTGAGTAGATTTAAACTGCACCTTGAGAGGTCCTTGAAGGGGTTCTACAGGTTCCTGTGGAGGTTTTGGGAAGTCCTTAAGGGGTACCAGAGGATACGTGAGGGAGCAGGTCGATAAATCAGTTTGGACTAAACCACATAACCACATCAACATGAAGAATCATTCAACATAAACAACAAGAAGTTAAACAAACACCAAACCCTGCAGTTCCTCCAGTGTCCACTAGAGTCTGTCTCCTGCAGTGAGTCAGTCCCCATAGAGCTCTATGTTAAAATGTTTAACTTTACAGCTGCAGTTCCTCCAGTGTCCACTAGAGTCTGTCTCCTGCAGTGAGTCAGTCCTCATAGAGCTCTATGTTAAAATGTCTAACTTTACAGCTGCAGTTCCTCCAGTGTCCACTAGAGTCTGTCTCCTGCAGTGAGTCAGTCCCCATAGAGCTCTATGTTAAAATGTCTAACTTTACAGCTGCAGTTCCTCCAGTGTCCACTAGAGTCTGTCTCCTGCAGTGAGTCAGTCTCCATAGAGCTCCATGTTAAAATGTCTAACTTTACAGCTGCAGTTCCTCCAGTGTCCACTAGAGTCTGTCTCCTGCAGTGAGTCAGTCCCCATAGAGCTCTATGTTAAAATGTCTAACTTTACAGCTGCAGTTCCTCCAGTGTCCACTAGAGTCTGTCTCCTGCAGTGAGTCAGTCCTCATAGAGCTCTATGTTAAAATGTCTAACTTTACAGCTGCAGTTCCTCCAGTGTCCACTAGAGTCTGTCTCCTGCAGTGAGTCAGCCCCATAGAGCTCTATGTTAAATGTCTAACTTTACAGCTGCAGTTCCTCCAGTGTCCACTAGAGTCTGTCTCCTGCAGTGAGTCAGTCCTCATAGAGCTCATGTTAAAATGTCTAACTTTACAGCTGCAGTTCCTCCAGTGTCCACTAGAGTCTGTCTCCTGCAGTGAGTCAGTCCCCATAGAGCTCTATGTTAAAATGTCTAACTTTACAGCTGCAGTTCCTCCAGTGTCCACTAGAGTCTGTCTCCTGCAGTGAGTCAGTCCTCATAGAGCTCCATGTTAAAATGTCTAACTTTACAGCTGCAGTTCCTCCAGTGTCCACTAGAGTCTGTCTCCTGCAGTGAGTCAGTCCTCATAGAGCTCCATGTTAAAATGTCTAACTTTACAGCTGCAGTTCCTCCAGTGTCCACTAGAGTCTGTCTCCTGCAGTGAGTCAGTCCTCATAGAGCTCCATGTTAAAATGTCTAACTTTACAGCTGCAGTTCCTCCAGTGTCCACTAGAGTCTGTCTCCTGCAGTGAGTCAGTCCTCATAGAGCTCTATGTTAAAATGTCTAACTTTACAGCTGCAGTTCCTCCAGTGTCCACTAGAGTCTGTCTCCTGCAGTGAGTCAGTCCTCACAGAGCTCTATGTTAAAATGTCTAACTTTACAGCTGCAGTTCCTCCAGTGTCCACTAGAGTCTGTCTCCTGCAGTGAGTCAGTCCTCATAGAGCTCTATGTTAAAATAAACATGTTTACATCCTTTTATGTTTTTGTTCATCGTATTTTGATGTATTCGTATATGTTTGCTAATAAATAAAATAAATAAAATAAATAAAATAAATGAAATAAATAAAATACATCCTGGTACAAAAACAGTTTGGGTCTCTATAGAGCTCATTCAGTTTATTTGTGACAGAGTCAGGAGGTTTGTTTGAGTTTTCCTGCAGAGAAGACGGTGGACTGGACTGCAGTGATAAAAAGACCTTTTTAAGTTGCTTGCTTTGTGCGAGTGAGTCTTCGACGTTCTCCAACCAAAACAACCTGAAAGAGGATAAAACAGCTGCAGAGACGAGACGACGCTGTGAGCAGCAGACTCTGATTATTTCCCCTCATTTCAAACTTCTCGTCTTTGTCTCCTCGTGCAGCAGAAACGTCAGCTCGCTGCTGCAGTTCAACTTCTCACACGGCCGCTGACCGTCACTGAGCAACAGGCTGCCCTCACCCCAAACTGCTTCAGCCAATCAGCATTGACGTCACTATCATGTCTGTGTGTGTGTGTGGACATGAGTAATGACCTCCAGTTGAGGGTGAGAAGTTTCCTGTTTTATATTGTTGCCTTATTAACGCTCATATGAGAATGTATTCATGTGTTTCTCTCAGTTTGCTGCTTTCAGAGGAATATAAAACGTTCAATTGTACCAAAAGGTGCTGAAGCTTTTTTTTAAAACTACATGAGTTCATAAGACAGATGTGTAGGAGAAGACAGAGTCCATCAAAAACTGCAGGTAAACTCCTGATGTCTAAACACATCGGCAACGTTGCGTTTTGTTTACTGTGCAGTTTAGAGAGCGTTCAGGAGTTAATCTGCTATTTTTAATAATTCAACAACGGCTGTTAAATGGTTAAATTGTTGGGTAAAGCTAACTTTCTGTCTTACTTACTTAATTAATTAATACCCAGAATATATTATTATTATTATATTATTATATATATTCTATACTATTTTTATTGTATTTTATTAATTGTATTTTATTTTTATTTTGTTTAGTTATTTCTTTATTTTATTATTATTATTTTTTATTTATTTATTTATTTATCATTATTTTATTTATTTATTTTTTTTTTTTTTATTTAGTTATTTCTTTCATTTTACTTTATTTTATTTCTGCATTGTTAAGGTCATTGCCAGCTATGACTGCTCTGCCTGTTATGTTGTGCGTTTTGACTAATAAAGATAACTTGAACGGAACATACAAAGTCACACTCCCGTACAGTAGGGGGCGGCACTCACCTTTTAAACCGCCAATGAACTCAAGAAGAAGAAGTTGCCCGTTGCTAGGATACAGTATATTCCTCTCAGCAGCTAGCTTCAGACTGTTAGCTACCTGAGGCGGCTGAGACCAAGTTAACACCGTTAACTGAGAACTTACAGAAGTATTCGGTGTTTGTATGTTTCTCCGGTGTGTTCGGTGTGTTTCCGTTAGTCGTTAACAGACTGATGCTAAGAAGCTAACGCTAGCTAGCCGAGCTACAGGCAGTTAACGGTCGATTCGGTAGTTTGACAGGCGGCCGGTGATGGAGCAGGGGGGCCGGGGGGACCGGGGGGACCGGGGGGCCCGGGGGGACCGGGGGGACCGGGGGACCGGGCGGACCGGGGGGACCGGGCGGACCGCGGCAGAGACAGCAGCCTGCTGAAGAACCAGCCGTACGACGAGAGCCTGGAGGTGGTCGACTCCGAGGAGGTGGCGAGCGTGTACAGCCCGACCCCCCGCAGCCTGAGACAGGTGACACGATGAGCCGGTACACCGGTGTAACGGTGTAAACAGTGACCCTGTTAACTGGAGACCCGACTGCGAAGCTTTAGACACCTAATACTGGACAATTCCCTTTAACCACAGGCTGCACACTTCTTCAATTACACCAAAACTTTACCAACTTATGTTTTCCTCTGACATCACTTTTATGTTTTTTCAGGTGGAGCAGGAGGGGGCGTGGCCTAACGTTTCCTCTGACATCACTTTTATGTTTTTTCAGGTGGAGCAGGAGGGGGCGTGGCCTAACGTTTCCTCTGACATCACTGTTTTATGTTTTTTTTTAGGTGGAGCAGGAGGGGGCGTGGCCTAACGTTTCCTCTGACATCACTGTTTTATGTTTTTTTCAGGTGGAGCAGGAGGGGGCGTGGCCTAACGTTTCCTCTGACATCACTGTTTTATGTTTTTTTCAGGTGGAGCAGGAGGGGGCGTGGCCTAACGTTTCCTCTGACATCACTTTTATGTTTTTTCAGGTGGAGCAGGAGGGGGCGTGGCCTAACGTTTCCTCTGACATCACTGTTTTATGTTTTTTCAGGTGGAGCAGGAGGGGGCGTGGCCTAACGTTTCCTCTGACATCACTTTTATGTTTTTCAGGTGGAGCAGGAGGGGGCGTGGCCTAACGTTTCCTCTGACATCACTGTTTTATGTTTTTTTCAGGTGGAGCAGGAGGGGGCGTGGCCTAACGTTTCCTCTGACATCACTGTTTTATGTTTTTTCAGGTGGAGCAGGAGGGGGCGTGGCCTAATGTTTCCTCTGACATCACTGTTATGTTTTTTTCAGGTGGAGCAGGAGGGGGCGTGGCCTAATGTTTCTTCTGACGTCACTGTTTTATGTTTTTTTTTAGGTGGAGCAGGAGGGGGCGTGGCCTAACGTTTCCTCTGACATCACTGTTTTATGTTTTTTTCAGGTGGAGCAGGAGGGGGCGTGGCCTAACGTTTCCTCTGACATCACTGTTTTATGTTTTTTTCAGGTGGAGCAGGAGGGGGCGTGGCCTAACGTTTCCTCTGACATCACTGCTTTATGTTTTTTCAGGTAGAGTCCAGGCGGAGCAGGAGGGGGCGTGGCCTAACGTTTCCTCTGACATCACTGCTTTATGTTTTTTCAGGTAGAGTCCAGGCGGAGCAGGAGGGGGCGTGGCCTCACGTTTCCTCTGACATCACTGCTTTATGTTTTTTCAGGTAGAGTCCAGGCGGAGCAGGAGGGGGCGTGGCCTAACGTTTCCTCTGACATCACTGCTTTATGTTTTTTCAGGTAGAGTCCAGGCGGAGCAGGAGGGGGCGTGGCCTAATGTCAGCCACCATTGGCACTGACCAATTTGGGGCTGACCAAAAGGCTCACAGGGCCAACGAGGCCACCAGGAGGCCACTCGGGGTCAGTCCACACGAGGAAGAGGACGACGACGACGATGACGACTCTGATGAAGAGGAGGATGACTCGGATGACGACGACGATGAAGATGATGATGAACCCAGTGCGGCTCCAGAGGGGGCGTACGACCCTGCGGACTACGCCAACCTGCCCGTCAGCAGTGACATCAAAGAGCTGTTCCAGTACATCACACGGTAAGATGCTCCGTCAGGTTCTCAGAGCCACGGTTACCATGGTAACAACTTTTAAAAATCGAAAGCTCCAAAAGCTGCTGCACGCTGTCGACAACGTTGAAACGTTAAATACATCTTTGTGCAATTTAGAGCAAAAGGGAACGTGCAGAAGGTTGACTTTAAATCTTTTTCTGTCTTTGTTGTTTTGTTGTTGTCTTTGTTGTTTTGTTGTTGTCTTTGTTGTTTTGTTGTTGTCTTTGTTGTTTTGTTGTTGTCTTTGTTGTTTTGTTGTTGTCTTTGTTGTCTTTGTTGTTTTGTTGTTGTCTTTGTTGTTTTGTTGTTGTCTTTGTTGTTTTGTTGTTGTCTTTGTTGTCTTTGTTGTTTTGTTGTTGTCTTTGTTGTTTTGTTGTTGTCTTTGTTTTGGTATCTCTCGGGTTTGGAACATCTCCCGTCTTCCTAAACCCTGAACAGATACAGCCCTCAGAACATAGAGCTGGAGCACAGCCTGAAGCCCTTCATCCCAGACTTCATCCCCGCTGTGGGAGACATCGACGCCTTCCTCAAGGTACAAACATCACTTCCTCTTTGTGTTTGTCATCACTCTTACATGGCAGCCATTTTTATTGGCTAACCTGGAAGTTAGCATTGCGCTGTTTCCCTCTACAAAAAGCCTCTGGGGGTATTTCATGGCGTTTTGGATTATTGCAGAAAAACAGCTCTGAGGTTATGACACTCACACGTGTTGTTGTGAGCAGACGATGAAGAGGAAGGAGGGGGCTCTACGAGGCGCTGACACCCCCTCCCCCGTCTACATCAGACTAAAACATCGTCAACTTTTCAGCTCTGAAACGTTGACGATGTTTTTCTACAATTTAGCAATTTTTTGAAATTACACACAAACAATAAATTGCCTTTGTTGTTACCGTGGTAACAAAGAGATATTGACCTCAGCGGTGACCTGTGTTGTGTTCAGGTACCGCGGCCGGACGATAAAGAGGACAGTCTGGGTCTGCTGGTTCTGGACGAGCCGAGCGTGAAGCAGTCGGAGCCCACGGTGCTGACGCTGTGGCTGTCAGAGGAGAGCAAGCAGCACGGAGCGCCCGAGGTGCTCGCCATCACACGTCATGTGACATCACACGTCATGTGACACCACACGTCATGTGACACCACACGTCATGTGACACCACACGTCATGTGACACCACACGTCATGTGACATCACACGTCATGTGACACCACACGTCATGTGACATCACACGTCATGTGACACCTCGTCTGTCTGATGTCTGACCTGTTCTAATCACAGGAAACTCACCCCCCTCTCTCTCTCCCCCCCCCTCTCCCCCCCTCTCTCCCCCCCTCTCCCCCCCCTCTCTCTCCCCCCTCTCTCCCCCCCTCTCTCTCTCCCCCCCTCTCTCTCCCCCTCTCTCTCCCCCCTCTCTCTCCCCCCTCTCTCTCCCCCCCTCTCTCTCCCCCTCTCTCTCTCTCTCCCCCTCTCTCTCTCTCTCCCCCCCTCTCTCTCCCCCCTCTCTCTCCCCCCTCTCTCTCTCCCCCCCTCAGATGAAGAAGGTGACGAGTGTGCCGAGTCCTCAGTCGAACCCTCGTGTGGTCGACAGCTGGGTGGAGAGCATCAGCGCCCTGCATCGCTCGAAGCCTCCGGCCAGCGTGCAGTACGGCCGGGCGATGCCCGACATCGACAGCCTGATGCAGGAGTGGCCGGCAGAGCTGGAGGAGCAGCTGGGCCGCCTGCAGCTGCCCCCCGCCCGCCTCGGCTGCAGCACCGCCCGCTACGCCGACGTCATCTGCGGTCTGCTCGACATCCCCGTCCACAACTCCAGAATCCAGAGTCTGCACCTCCTGTTCAGTCTGTACCTCGAGTTCAGAGACTCCCAGCACTTCACACGCAGAGCCTGACAGCACACACACACACACGGGCTGCACACACACACACACACACACACACACACACACACACACACACACACACACACACACACACACACACACACACACACACACACACACACACACACATACAGGCCACACACACACACACACACATACACACACACACACACACACACACACATACACACACACACACACACGGGCTGCACACACACACACACACACACACACACACGGGCTGCACACACGCACACACACACACACACACACACACACACACATACACACACACACACACACACACACACATACATACAGGCTACACACACACACACACACACACACACACACACACACACACACACACACACACACACACGGGCTGCACACACGCACACACACACACACACACACACACACACACACACACACACACATACACACACACACACACACATACACACACACACACACACACACACACACACACACACACACACACACACACACACACACACACACACACAGAGGGACAGAACTATTTCAGTCTATGTTCTCTTTATTCTTTGGTTCTTTCAGAAACTTTTCTTAAAGTTTGTATTTTCAGCAGATTAAAGAAATCTTTTGTATGATGAACATGTGAGTTGTGTTTTAATATCAGTTTATTAACAGTGAGGATCTCTCTGCTGAACCACTTCTCTTGACCGCTTCCATCGCTGCAACACCTGTTGACCTGATAACTGCTCTCATATCTGACAAACCGAGGGGCGTCCAAAACGGCCGTCTGGGGGTGTCTTAAAAGCGCCTACCTTCTCTGGTCCAAACAAATCCAGAGCATTCAGGAGCAGAATCTAAAGTTAGAAGGAGGACATACTGGCTGCTGCTTTGTTGTCATAGCAACCAGCACTTCAACATGTTTCCTTAATGATCAGATAGTGTTGAAATAGTTTGCAGATTAAAAATCAGTAGAACATCAATTTCTACTTTCATATTTTAACGATATCTAAACTGTCCACTCTGTTAAATATTCTGCCAGTGTACTTTTACAATTTTATAATCTTTCCCATCTTTGCTGTGCACCAGTTAATGGTGTGTCTCATATCGATAATAAAGGTCACTTCATAGAGTGAATTCAATAAAAGCTACTATTAGAAGTTCTATGGTATATTATCTATAATCTATCAAACACAGGCTGTGAAAACTATGAATAGTTGTATTTTAGTAATGTTTTAAATATCCGCTGTTTTGATTTGTGTGTAAAACTTTTTCATTTTTTCCTCCCACAATGCACCGCACTGTTATTGTTCTGCCTGTCCAACATGGCGGCTCCTGGCTGCATCTTCCACAGAACCCTGACCCGGTCCAGATCCGGTCCACACCAGGTCTAAGCCTCCTCTCTATCATCACGGTCGTTGATATGAATCTGTAATGATAAATGGGCTCTGTGTGGGTCGAGCGGGATCAAACCTAAAGTCCGGTTCTCCCTCCTCTCACTCGGATTGAACAGCAACCAGACTCCGTTTAGAAATCCACCGATTTAACGTCACTCGGCTGAAAAGCTCAAACACGCTCTACCTTCTTATTAATACTTGATGCAGTGTCTGAATGTGATGTTTCGGCGAACATAAACTCATCCTGTTTGTCTTTATTTAACAATTAAACACTTAAATTCACATGACAGTAAACGGAGAGGACACCTGCGAAGCTCAGGTTGAATTGTGTGAATTCATGTAAATTAAAATATTGTGTTAGAAATGTTCCCCTCGGTGTGGATTATGGTTATAAATAATTAAAATCCAGACCACTAAGATTTCAAACTAATGCTGCTGTTGTCTGATTAAGTCGAGATCATTGACGACCTTAAATTGTTTGTTTTTTGAATGGAGTCTGGTGCTGACAGCTTCCCGCGATCCTTTGTGCCACTAAGCTTGAGTAATCACATTTTTAATCGTTCACGTTTGAAATTCCATTATTATATTATTTTGAAATTCCCAAAAGCTTTGTGCTGCTTGGTCTTTTGACTAATGATCAAAAACATTTATACTGCCGTGTTAAACCAGCAGACACCTGAGGCTGAAGATGTTTTTGTCTCTTGCCCTGTGTGTTGTCTTGCCCTGTGTGTTGTCTTGCCCTGTGTGTTGTATTGCCCTGTGTGTTGTCTTGCAGGCGTCCTGTCCAGCTGTCTGCAGAGAGTCTCTGTTTGTGCTGGATGTGCACCGTTACAGCAGAGACCAGGGATCGTCTGTCTACTTCCCCCAGGCTGTCCTCATGGGTGAGACACGGCAGAGCAGGACATTTGTTTGATTACACTTTTCACTGCTTGGGGGAGGTAGAGGTCATTATGATTGAGGGGTTACTTGATACAGGTGACACAAAAGACAGGATAAATCATGAAAAGCCACAGTTTGTTCCTTACCAGCCTGAACTTGGACCTGGTCTCTGGTCTGACTGGTTTCTGGTTCGGTGTCTCCAGGTGACGACTTGTATGACATCACGCTGACAGACGGGGACTGCAGGCTTCGAGTCACTCTGGATCCTGGTCTGAACCGGCTGGTGGAGAGAAACGTCCTTCAGCCGGGGTCAATGCTACGTAACGCCACTTTCACGCCCGCCATGGCGGCTCAGCTCCCAGAATGCACCGGCGTCTCTGGAGAGAAAGACAGGTGAGTGTGGACAGGTAGATTTAACAGCTGTGATGTCATCAGTCGGGTGTAATGTTTGTGCTCCTGCAGTTACAGACTGGTGAAGGTGGAGGTCACAGATGAAGCTGGAGGTGAGGAGGGCGGAGTCAGAGGAATAAATGTGGGCAGCGACTCACTGCCCTGGTTTGGACAGACTGAACCTGAAGGTAACACACAGACCAGATCCTGTGTTTTTAAAGTTAATCATTGAATTATTTATTGACTGATTGGTAGATTGGTTGGGTTGGTTGGTTGACTGGTTGAATAGATGGTTGGATGGTTGACTGGTTGGTTGGTTGGATGGATGGTTGACTGGTTGGTTGGTTGGATGGTTGTAGGTTGACTGGTTGGTTGACTGGTTGGATGGTTGGTTAGTTGGTTGGATGGTTGGATGGATGGTTGACTGGTTGGTTGGTTGGATGGTTGTAGGTTGACTGGTTGGTTGGATGGTTGGATGGATGGTTGACTGGTTGGTTGACTGGTTGATTGGATGGTGGAATGGTTGGTTGGTTGGTTGGTTGGTTGGTTGGTTGGATGGTTGACTGGTTGACTGGTTGGTTGGATGGTTGGATGGATGGTTGGATGGATGGTTGACTGGTTGGTTGGTTGGTTGGATAGTTGAATGGTTGGTTGGTTAGATGGTTGACTTGTTGACTGGATGGTTGGTTGGTTGGATGACTGGTTGATTGGTTGGTTGGATGGTTGGTTGGATGGTTGACTGGTTGACTGGTTGACTAGATGGTTGGTTGGTTGGTTGACTGGTTGACTGGATGGTTGGTTGGATGGTTGGTTGGTTGAATGGTTGGTTGGATGGTTGTAGGTTGACTGGTTGGATGGTTGGTTAGTTGGTTGGATGGATGGTTGACTGGTTGGTTGGTTGGATGGTTGTAGGTTGGTTGACTGGTTGGTTGGATGGTTGATTGGATGGTTGACTGGTTGGTTGGTTGGTTGGATGGATGGTTGCCTGGTTGGTTGGTTGGATGGTTGGTTGGATGATTGGTTGATTGGTTGATTAGATGGTTGGTTGGTTGACTGGTTGATTGGTTGATTGGATGGTTGGATGGATGGTTGGATGGATGGTTGACTGGTTGGTTGGATGGTTGGTTGGATGATTGGTTGATTGGTTGGATGTTTGACTTGTTGACTGGATGGTTGGTTGGTTGGTTGGTTGGTTGGTTGGTTGGTTGGTTGGTTGACTGGTTGATTGGTTGGTTGGATGGTTGGATGGTTGACTGGTTGACTGGATGGTTGGTTGGTTGGTTGGTTGGTTGAATGGTTGACTGGTTGGTTGGATGGTTGGTTGGTTGACTGGTTGGTTAGTTGGCTGGTTGACTGGTTGGTTGGTTGGTTGGTTGACTGGTTGGTTGGTTGGATGGTTGGTTGGTTGAATGGTTGACTGGTTGGTTGGTTGGTTGGTTGGTTGGTTGGTTGGTTGTAGGTTGATGGTTTGTTGATGAATTAAACCCACAGGTTCTCTACTACCCCTGAGAGCCAATCGGAGCGTGTTTTTGCCTCTCTGGAACAGTGTGGACTACAGTGGGGAGGAGTGGAGGGAAGCTCCGCCCACTTACGAAGAGAGAGATGAAGAAGAGGACGAAGGTTCTGCCACTGAATACATTTGTTTATTCATAAGATTGAGCCCATATTTTAAATTTAATTTAAATAAATCAAATATTTTAGGGGGGTTTATTTCAATTTTTAGTCACGAGTT